TGTGTCTGTCTGTCTGTGGGAGTTAGTGTTTGTGTATGTCTGTCTGTGGGAGTTAGTGTTTGTGTCTGTCTGTCTGTGGGGAGTTAGTGTTTGTGGTCTGTCTGTCTGTGGGAGTTAGTGTTTGTGTCTGTCTGTCTGTGGGAGTTAGTGTTTGTGTATGTCTGTCTGTGGGAGTTAGTGTTTGTGTGTGTCTGTCTGTGGGAGTTAGTGTTTTTGTGTCTGTCTGTCTGTGGGAGTTAGTGTTTGTGTCGTCTGTCTGTGGGAGTTAGTGTTTGTGTCTGTCTGTCTGTGGGAGTTAGTGTTTGTGTCTGTCTGTTGTGGGAGTTAGTGTTTGTGTCTGTCTGTCTGTGGGAGTTAGTGTTTGTGTGTGTCTGTCTGGGAGTTAGTGTTTGTGTGTGTCTGTCTGTGGGAGTTAGTGTTTGTGTCTGTCTGTGGGAGTTAGTGTTTGTGTGTGTCTGTGGGAGTTAGTGTTTGTGTGTCTGTCTGTGGGAGTTAGTGTTTGTGTCTGTCTGTCTGTGGGAGTTAGTGTTTGTGTATGTCTGTCTGTGGAGTATGTTGTGTCTGTCTGTCTGTGGAGTTAGTGTTTGTGTTGTCTGTCTGTGGGAGTTAGTGTTTGTGTATGTCTGTCTGTGGGAGTTAGTGTTTGTGTGTGTCTGTCTGTGGGAGTTAGTTTTTGTGTCTGTCTGTGGGAGTTAGTGTTTGTGTCTGTCTGTGGGAGTTAGTGTTTGTGTGTGTCTGTCTGTGGGAGTTAGTTTTTGTGTGTGTCTGTCTGTGGGAGTTAGTGTTTGTGTCTGTCTGTGGGAGTTAGTGTTTGTGTGTGTCTGTCTGTGGGAGTTAGTTGTTGTGTGTGTCTGTCTGTGGGAGTTAGTGTTTGTTGTCTGTCTGTGGGAGTTAGTGTTTGTGTGTGTCTGTGGGAGTTAGTGTTTGTGTGTGTCTGTCTGTGGGAGTTAGTGTTTGTGTCTGTCTGTCTGTGGGAGTTAGTGTTTGTGTGTGTCTGTGGGAGTTAGTGTTTGTGTCTGTCTGTCTGTGGGAGTTAGTGTTTGTGTGTGTCTGTGGGAGTTAGTGTTTGTGTCTGTCTGTCTGTGGGAGTTAGTGTTTGTGTCTGTCTGTGGGAGTTAGTGTTTGTGTCTGTCTGTGGGAGTTAGTGTTTGTGTCTGTCTGTCTGTGGGAGTTAGTGTTTGGGTTCGTCTGTGGGAGTTAGTGTTTGTGTATGTCTGTCTGTGGGAGTTAGTGTTTGTGTGTGTTTGTACTGTATGTGTTTCTGAGTATGTGAAGATAACAGAAAAAAAAATATAGAAAGGAGATGAAAAATAAGAACAGACAAAACCTGATAATGCACACCAATAACAAAAACGATATAATCTATAATTAAAAACAAACAATAGGAATAAAGCAAAAGCAATTAAAGAAGAAAATGAAGACGAATGAAAAAGACAATAAAAATAAGGGAATGAAGAAAAACCAGTTGAACAAGCGACTCTTAACCATTGACTCAGTGATAACACAAGGTGAGCTGGACGAAGGGTGGTGAAGATAGAGGGTGTGGAGGATGGAGGGGATAGAGGTGGTTAGAGAGGATGGAGGGGATGGAGGTGGTTAGAGAGGATGGAGGGGATGGAGGTGGTTAGAGAGGATGGAGGGGATGGAGGTGGTTAGGGAGGATGGAGGGGATGGAGGTGGTTAGGAGAGGGCGGAGGGGATGGAGGGGTTAGGAGGATGGGAAGGTGGAGTGGGGGAAGGAAGAGGATGGAGGAGATGGGGGAAGGAGGATGAGGAGATGAAGTGGGGGTGTGGTATAGAGAGTGGAGTAAGATGAAAGGGATGGAGGGTGAATAGAATGAGGGTGGAAGAGATGGAGGAGGGTGAAGAGGAGGAGGAGAACGAGGAGGAGGATGGGAGGTAGCGTGACCTTGTTGTGAAGGGAGGACGCGAAATAAGCCTCTCTCTCTCTCTCTCTCTCTCTCTCTGTCTCTCTCTCTCTCTCTCTCTCTATGTCTTTGTGTCTGTCTCTATGTATATATGTATGTATGTATGTATGCATGTACGTATGTATTGATAGATAGATAGATGGATAGATAGATAGAAGGATGGATGGACGGACGGATGGACGGGTGCACATACATACATACATACATACATACATTTCTCTCTCCCTCACAGCACAGGAAATTCTTAAGTCCTGTGAATGGAAGTGTTGTTATGTACATAGCCGTTGGCCAGGTCGCTGGGTGTGTGTGGACAATGGGCAGGAGTGTGTGTGTGTGTGTGTGTGTGTGTGTGTGTGTGTGTGGAGTGTGTGTGTGTGTGTGTGTGTGTGTGTGTGTGTGTGTGTGTGTGTGTGTGTGTGTGATATTTACATAATACCTGTTTGTCTTTGTGTAAGTCTCCTTTCATTATCTTAATTTGTCCTCCTTATTTTATATCTCTTCATTGCTTTTTCTCTTTCATTTTTATTTTCCTTTATTTTTTCTTCCTGACAGAGGGTCGTCTTCTGGCTTTCTCTTTCTTATGCATTTTTTTTTCTTTAATTTATCATTACTTTCTACCTTTCTCACTTTACATATCTCCTCCTGTTTTATGCCTTTATATACTTCTCTCTTTTACTTTCTTTTCTTCATTTCCTTCTTCTTTCTCTTAATCTGTTTTCTTCTCTCTATATCTTTGTTTTTTCTTCTTTCTTTCTTTTCATTTATTTCTTTGTATCTGTCTTCTTCTCTCTCTCTCTGCTTTTGTCTCCCTACATATCCAGATAACCCTTCTCCCTCCTCCCTCCTTCCTCCTCCCTCCCTCCCTCCTTCATTATCCTTACAAAACCCAGAGGTTGGTGACCTTACGTGACATCACCGAGTCATCAAGAGCAAGGTCTGGGAACACTGTCACAGTCAAGCAACCAACCCAATGTTGCTCAAGCCCGGTCTGGCAACAGTGTTTCTTCTCCATCGTCCCCGGTTCCTGCTTTGGTAATATCTTTTTTTGTGATTCATATGCTTCGTTGGCAACAGTTTCTCTTATGTATTTGTTTTTATTGTTTTTAGTTCCTTATTCTTGTTTGTTTTGATAATACCTTCATGTTTTTTTTAATTTTGCTGGCAACAGTGTTTCTCATTTATTTCCTTATTTCAAATCTTGACTTATTTTGATAATACTGTCTTGCTTTCCTTTATATCTCGTTGGTAACAGTGTTTCTTTAATTATCTTACCACTTTTTTATTATATATACTTGATATGGTAATACTGTCATATCAATAGCAACCTCACCCCTTAGCACTTATGTTCATTTGGTAATAGTGCTTATTATTTCCCGGTAGAACCTTATTATCTTTTTTCATATTTCGCTAACTTTGTATTTATTTAAATTTTCTTAACGTTATATTATTATCGTACTGTCCTTCAACATCCACGGTCTTTAAGGGCATAACAACTTAGTAATTACATTAATCAATCAACAATAAAAATCTCATACGATACACAACTCACGATAAGACCAGTTCTCGATTGTGGGAACTCAAGTGACGTGGGCGAAAAGTCACACACGTCATCGAGGATAGCTTTATGTTCTTGTCTATTTAATAATATGTGTATCCATAGTTGCATCTTTACCTAATATATGTATCTATAACTGTATATAGTTTTCTCTGTACCTGTACTTGGCCTTTTAAGTCCGTCGATAGACTTGTTTATAATTTGAGAAAATATTGTATTTTCTTCACCTTATTGAAGATACGTCACCTGATTGGTCTCGTTATTGGTAGAGAGAGAGAGAGAGAGAAAGAGAGAGAGAGAGAGAGAGAGAGAGAGAGACCAACGTTAAGCACAGCTCACTCAGAAGTGGCTAGCTCTCTATAAAAGTGACTTAGTGAGGTCAACACTACATAGGTGACTTAAAAGAGATTATGTACATTATACATTAAACAAGATTTCTAATAAAATTTGTCTTTTTGGAGAAATTGAGTTACTATAGGTGAGTAGGTTACAAACGATGATAGTAATATTGTGTCTAGTAGTATCAGTGTCTTGTATAGATGAAGTATAGCTAAGTTATGAACACAGGCGAAGTGGGATTCTGAAATTTTATTGTACTAAATAAATATAATCATCGCACAGGACAAATAGTTTTAGCTTATCTCTCATAATACGTACAGCGATAGTGAAGCTAAGATGATCAGTGTAGTTTATAGCTGAGCAGTAGCAAGGAGACGCAGTCATCATCGAGTAAGGCATTGTTAGCGTGGCAGGACGTACAGGTGTAATTATCGAAGTACTTTATAGCGGTACAGTAGTAAATAGACACAATCATCTTACCTTGATATCACGGAAAGCTATAAAGAAGCTACGGTTATCATAGTACTTCCTACCTGGCCTGGTGTATAATGAACCAACAATTATCATTAGTACTGTCGTCAGAATGCTCCTTAACTCGTACTCCCAGGAATAATTGGCCATTTGGAAGGCCGATGATAGTAAACGCCGGCCGTATAATCTCTTTCCTTTAGCTTGTCTTTGTTGTTACGACGTCGTGATGGCGCTGATGACGTCACTGTGTCTAGCCAATCACAGCCCGACTCACGAAATGGTGAAACTTAACAATGTGACTTTCAAATGCATCTAGACATGAATCTTTCTTTATCTGTTTTAGGTAACGATTATTTACAAAAGGAAATAGTGAATAAATCTCCTATGGTTGCTATTGTTGACTTTGTGTTATAGCGAGTTATAATAAAGATTAAATTTAGAAAATTAGAAAAGGAAGTGGTATTCGAAGGCTTCGTGCTTGAGAGAGTAATACTGGAAGCACAGGTCTAAGTCGGACAAGCAAATGCTTTTGTTTACATTACAGATCACCTCTTAGGAACTTACCTGCCATGACCACAGAACAAGAACCCTCATTAAAAGTGCATAAATAACAAAAATACGAGAGAAAATATTTAAATAAGGGAAGGAATTTTCCATTTAACGCCAGGACCTCGCTATCTGTGGGCGGGGCTTGGACGCTGGCCCGAGTGCTTAAAAAGAGAACGGCGGGAGGCCGGGACGACCATTCTCCATCCTGACTCCGTCGAAAACGTGTCAGACACCATGAGGATACTTGCAGTAGTGATCCTTTGTGCTGTAGCAGGCGCTGGTAAGTGCATCTGTTTTGATAGTTAGGACTCATAATAATGTTACTTTTTATGTCAGTGGAACATTTCATGTGTGCCCTTGACACACCGACATAATGTTGGTTAATGAAATAACTATAATACTGAGTTAAGATTAATTTTATTATGATCTTTGATATTTGTTTCTATTTAAACTTAATCCCAAGAACTGACAATTTCCTCATAATATGTTTACGTGTCTGCAATACTGGAAGTGGCAGTGATACCTTGTGAGTGCATTTTAAGTGTTCTAAACGCGAATTAACAAAAAAGCAGTTATTCCATGCATGAAGAACAATGAACTACCAAGAAGTTTGAAGAAAAAACTGTGTTGGGTGATGGAAGTCGTGGCAAGCGAGTGTTGGCAGGAATTGGTGTCAGCAGACGAGAGAACAGTGACTGTGTTGTCCCCTACACCCTGGCCAACACCAAGTTATCTGACTTATTTTACATTTGCGCTTCCTAGTGTCTGTATGTCTTAACATGAGAGTCGGACACAGTGATGCAGCATCTGTAGTGGATATTATTGACCGTTTATTCAGGCGAAGAAATCTATTTATAAGGATTAAAGTCTTGGATTGCAACACCTGTAGGTCGAGGGACTTGTACAGTACACCTATCATAAGAGGAGCGCCACCACAAGCGAAAGTTCGCCCGGCTTCGAAACCAAATCTTGTGTTGTAACACAGGAGCACAGAGCAAAGTTGCTGACGAGCGTTAAACTAACGTAGACTCCATAAGCTTGTCATTGCGACGGGACACAAACGCCAGGCGTGTTTACTGCTCATACTGGCGTTAGTTTTATGGTCCGGACCGCAGACCATACACAATATGCCTTACTTTTGTTTTCATTTACGTTAAAGATATTGAATCACATTTTAAGTTATTCCTTTTATTAGAGCAGTATTTTTCAACCACGTCAGTTAATTTTTGTTTATATCACTTTAATTAAGACTAAAGCACAAGATTTATATGAAATGTAGGATCCGATTTTCCATCTTTTCTCTTTTCTATTTTTAACGACACCCTCATAATCCCCTCGTAATATTTTAGACTTAATTGCATGTATTAGAAGAAGGTTCTGTAACACCCAGAGAAATAACCAGAACGCTTCATGCGTATTATATCACAAGAAAAAATCCTTTGACGTAACCAACGATGCCTTCGTGAATTAAATTTCCATCTTAAATAAATGAGATATTTTAGAAGTCGTGGGAGTAGATTGTAAATCAAGAGTGTGTCGTACGCTAAGACAACTTGTTGACTTATCCAGGAAAACCTCACAAGCCAAGAATCTACCGTCTGTCCATCATACTTTTAAACGTAAGCAAAATTTCTATCGTACGTCAAGGAAAAAACTCCCACGTAACCAAGGAAGCCTTTAAGCGAATCGACAACGAACGTGTCAGGGGAGGAAAGTCACCTTGCCGCTCACTGCGTCCCCCCGGATAGCGGACCAACCCGTTGCTCAAGTCTCGTCTGGGTGACCTTTTACCGACCTCTGGCTGGCTCAGTCACAAGGATCCAGACGCGGTTCTCTCATACTCCATGCTACACCACAGACTGGTTTATGATGGTTGTGGGGCTGACGAATTGTAATTGTGGAGGCTGATGAATGGTGGTGGTTGTGGGGCTTATGGATGGAGTGGTGATAGGGAAGCAGGTAAGAGGTTTTATGGAGTTTGGTAGTGGTGGGATGATAGGAAGGAGGAAGGACTGAAAGGGACAGTTAATGGTAGGAGACTTGACATAACACGGTGTGGCGTGGTAGAGGTGGTGTTGGTGTAGGATTAAGGATAGGCTTATCAACCATAGAGAGATAAGAACCCTCACTACCTCAGACAACCATCTACAGATTGAATATTGAACGTACAAAACACATGAGCAAAATGGAAAACATAAGCACATCTGGAGAGGCACAGCTGTCTTAGTCGTTCACAGCAGTTGAGATGCGAGAGATTCTAGTGAACAGGAAATCCCCGGCCACTTGCCCTTCCCAGAATTACTTACATATGTTGTCTCTCTCCTCTTGGGCAGGTTCATGCGTGACTGTTTTAACAATCTCTTTCCATCTATATCTGACTATGCATGCATTTATGTATATCTCTATACAATCTATCAAATATATCACTCTCCCTGTTATCATACATCGGCATCCTCTTCTCTGTAATGTAAGCATTCCTCCTCTGTTACAGGACTTGTCAATCAGGTGTTCAGATCCTTCAGTCACTTTAATGTCCCTTACATTTTATATCTATCAAAAAATTTCCCCGGTTTTAAGTCAGTCGACGAACACAACACCGGTGCTGAGTTCACCCTCGTATTTTTGTGTTTGTAACATTCTGAGAAACTGAATGAATTGGACAAAGTAAATACGATTTAATTCTTACGTGGTAACCCGTTTTTATTATGACAATTTTCTAAGAAGCTGATTGAATTATTGTGATGAAACTTTATGCTTTTGTTATATAACTTTAAGAACTTTCGGAGAAAATGATCAATTAAATATGTGATGAAAATATAGCTCATAAATTATATATTTTATAGCTTTTGAAACTTCGGAGAAACTGAACGAATTAAAGTAATATGATGAACTCTAGGGTACAAATATTTTTTTTTGTAATTCAGGTCATGAAACTTTCCAAGAAAATTAGTGAACTGCATAAAATTGATAACGATGAAATTTTGGTGGACTATTTTTTTGTTATCATAAGTTTTGAGACTCCGTAAAAACTGAATAACTTCCACAAAGTTAAAATGAGGAAAATCGGTGACATTATTTAATTTGGAAACTTCGTGCAGGATGCCTTCGTGTTCATATTTGTTTTAACTTTCCATAAAAACATTTTAAGATTAATATCACAAAATTTTATTGAAATTTTCTTCATATTCCAACTTTTTTTTACTCTTACAGAGAAACGAATTATCAAAATGAAACGTCGAACAACACTTTTTTTTTTCCGTGTTCTGGTGTTTTGAAACTTTCCGAGAAACAGTGACTTAAACAGAGGGGAGGATGAGGCCTATCACAACTTCCTGTTACTTTTACTTTCACTTTTCTGAGTAAACCTGTTCTGAGTCTGACCTCGAAACTGAGAGATAAAGAGAGAGTGAGAGGCAGAAAAGGGAGGTGTAGTCGGGGGAGGGGGTGGATGGAGATTGGGAGTGGAAGAGAGAGAGAGAGAGAGAGAGAGAGAGAGATGTTGTAGAAGACAATGTGTGTTGAGGGAGAGAGGGAGTGGAGGAGGGGGGATAAGTTGTTGGGTTAGACAGGTGTGGTGGGTGGGTTAGAGGAACGGCGGCTGGATGGGATAGGAAGTAGACAGGTGTGGTGGGTGGATTTTGAGGGACGGGAAGGCTAGGTGTGGTAGGTAGGATGGAGGGAGGTGGTTGTGGTTAGTGAATGAGGCGAAGTGTGTTATAGGGGAGGAAGGAGAAATGGGTTTTGGAAGACAGATTTGTTGGTAGGGAGGAGACAGGTGGGGGTTGGTGAGACATATGGTGGGAGGAGGAGGGGGAGTTACTGGGTGTGTGGGCTGGACTGTCAAGTTTACTTATTTCGTTGTTCCACTTACTATCTTATTATTTAATTGTTGTTCTTGTTGCTTTTCTTATTATCGTTGTAGTTGTTTATGTTCTCGTCATTCTTCCATTGTTGTTGCTGTTGTTATTTTTTTTATTCTTGTTTTTACGTTTTTTTACTTCTTATTATTGCTGTCTTATTCCATCTTGACCATCATAAAACCTGTTACCTTTACTCCCTAACAATGATGTATCAGTTACACACACACACACACACACACACACACACACACACACACACACACACTCACACGCCGCTAGATCACTCGGCGAGTCAGAGAGAGAGAGAGAGTGTAGTTTTTAAGTCAGATATTCCTCTCACTTGTAGATTATGTTAAGTCATTATTTTGAAGTTTTTCATTTTATTTATTCACTGAACAATTGTAATACAGAAACAAACTGCAAAAACTGTAACTTACAACACAGTGAATCACAGAACAAATACAGTCGTCAAGTGTTGGCTATCAGCTTGAACGTCTAATTATTCCATTAATAAATCGAAGGCTTCTTTATCTCTTCTCTAGACGTCATGATAATATATATATAAACATCGTTGTGATAAAATAATGCCTTAAGTATTTCATAATAATAATAATACATAATAATGATAAGATATATTAATATCAGTGATATTGACACACACGTCCGCCATGGTGATGGTCGTCGACACAGCATGAAACCAAGCAACGTGTTATCATAAAGTGAAGGTTGCGAGCACTGAGGTTCAATGGGTATGACGCACGGCATGACAAACATAAACACTCATAATATACAAATACTTCAGAAGTGGCAGAATAAATGGGCCTTATTTCTTAATATATCACAATCTTACTTCATCCTAATGTAACTAAAATCATCATTATTGGGGCCCAGTTGGATTGGAATGCAGTCAGACCTAATTATTATGATGAAAGACTATTAGGAACACAGTCAGGTTAAGTCGAGGCTCAGTAGAAAGACCTGACCTGACCTACACTCACACATTCACCTGTTATTAAACGTCTTAGTTCTCCTGATGGCTGGGGTGTGAGTCCGTCCCCTCAGGGCCTGGCCATGAGAGACTTACCGTACCTGTGGAAAACTGTAAACAACAGATGTCTCAACCCGACCTCATTCTTTGTCTGGTTTTAATGTCTCACCATCTCTCTTTCTTGTTTCTTTATCCTTCTCGTTTCCTTTTCTCTCCCTCTTTCACTCTCATTGACTTTGTCGTTCTCTTTGTCGATCTTTGTCTCTTTCTGTCTGTTTGTCTCTCATCGTCACACTCGTTATGTTGGTTTTAGTGGCGCCTCTAGCCGGTTTATCCTAACACTGTTTACAAATGAGAAATTTTAATTCTTATATTGACATCAATCTTATTACACAACCGTGGTCTATTATTATTATTATTATTATTATTATTGCAATTATTTATTATTATTATTATTATATCCCAAATATCGCTCAGTAATACAATTCACATCATTTACAGGATGAAAATGACTCCTTGGAGTATATTTTTCCTACAAGGGAGAAGGAAAATAAATATACATTAGATATAAGATAATAATCACAATGTTTTCCTCGTCATTGAATATTTCAACTCTGACTCGTTTGTATTTAATGATTACCAAGAAGTTGTTTCGAATAAATTCTCTCGTTGGTCTGATATTTAATGAAAGTTTGATGATCCGTTAGAAGTAGTGCTCATTTTGTGAACGTTTATGCGTTCATTAATACCGAAAGTTTTTAAGGAATTTTAAATTAACTGTAGATGGTTTTGTGTGTGTGTGTGTCCCAGTCTCTCTCTCTCTGTTTATGTCTACATGAGTGTTTGTGTTTGCGAATATGTCATGTGTACGTGGGTACACGCGCGCAGGTTGACGTGTGGATACGTTTGAGCATATAATCAAAGGGTTATGTATGGCTTTGTGTGCGTGTGGGTGCGACTTAGAGGAATTTTGTTCAACGGTAGTGTGTGTGTGTGTGTGTGACCGTCACCATCAGTAACATTACCCAACAGACATGTTCAGCCATCTTACTCAACTTCCCTCCTCCCCCCCTTCCATGTTCACATGAGCTGCACCACGTTGAACAATCCTGTGTTGTAACGAGGGTGGTGTTCATGGTCACATAAATTCCTCCACAGTTAGGTTCAATGTTCAGTATACGAAGCTGGGACTCATAATTATTGTGTTATTGTTCAACTGCCCCATTTAGTAGCGTGTTCAGTGCGTGTGTGTTTTACTGTCCCTCTGAGGGATTAATGATTTTGTTCATATTCTCTTTCTGGATATTTTGTTCAACTGTTCCGTTCAATATCCGCCTTCATGTATGCATGTTCAACTCTTCCTTTCAGAATTTCGTTCAAATGTCCCGTTCAGTATTATCACGTTAACTGTCGTGTTCATTATAGATTACGTCAACTGTCGTGCTCAGTATTATCAGGTTAACTGTCGTGTTCAGTATTATCAGGTTAACTGTCGTGTTCAACTGTCGTGCTCAGTATTATCAGGTTAACTGTCGTGTTCAACTGTCGTGTTCAGTATTATCAGGTTAACTGTCGTGTTCAACTGTCGTGTTCAGTATTATCAGGTTAACTGTCGTGTTCAATTGTCGTGTTCAGTATTATCACGTTCAACTGTGTAAATTCCTCCCTCAACAACCACCGTTCAGCTCTGGGGTCGATGTTCACCCTCATGGGAATACCGTTTCTCCCAGCACAATTATTTCCACCAGCTCAAGGCAGGGACTTGTGCCTGGGGATTTGCGCAGCGCCACCTTGAGGAACTGTGCAGCGCCAACACATGTCTCTTTATAGGACCCCTGAGTTGATCTAACCCACATTAGTGTCATCAACCTGGGAAGAGGAAGGGAGGGAGGGAAGGAAGGGTGAGGGAATAGGGAGGGAGGGACACATTGCAACCACCCCTTGTTGTCTGTCATGGTTTTTATATGTGCGTACATTAACTTGACTTGATCTTAAATTACCTTGGGATTAAACCATGCATTTCAATTTTTACAATTGATTTCCAAGTGGATTTAACACATTTTTAATACCATTCATTTTACGTCAAATCAAGACGACGCTTGAAATATAATTATTGTAGTTCATTTGTAGGGATTATCTAAATACTTATTCTATATTATCTATCTGTTAACTCGTTGATATGATTGTTATTATTATTAAATTACTTTACGCTGTCATGTTTTACTAAAGACATTAAACTGCGTCAGAGGAGGTTAATACCGTCACTGCCGGTGTAGTGGTCCGTCACTTAATGGATTTTTCTTTCGTTATGTAGATGTGATTGGAGAATATCCTGATGAACAATTACTTACACATTCGTATAAATAAAAAAATAAAAAAATAAAAAGCGCAGGGAGAGGCCAGGTGGTACTTACTCTTCATGTCCTGCTGCTGAAGGGGACAGCAACAGTGATGTTATCTGGTTTGAGAGATGAAGAAACCACACGACGAGGCTGTGACAAGCGAGATCTTCTTTGAGTGTTCGTGCCTGGGTCTTGTTGGTCAACCTCATCGTCTTCTCTCTCGTAAATCTACATAATCGCAGCGTTCCGCTCAGTTGTGCGTTGTAACCATGTTTACGACTAACTTTTTCCAGCCAGTGAACAATAGATGACTAGTCTTACTGCATCGTCAGAGTGAACCTTAGTGACCGTTTTCTTCACCCTAGTAAGTTTTGTTTGTATTCCCACAATGTTTAGGAAGTGCGGCAGTAGCATATTTCACTGACACAGATACAAACTTTCACTCAGTGCCTCGGGGCCTGGGAGCGCTCCCTGATTGGTCAACAAGTCTTGGTACTGCGCCGCACCATTGGTCGCTCTGCTCACCGCGAAAAGTGAAAGCTCGACGTGATTCGACGCACCAAATTTTTTAGGAACAAGGTTAATGAACTCTGCAAGGTGTACTCTCGGTGTTCTCTGCCATTTCCATGTCACTGACAGTGTAATGCTTAGAGTAGTGTTGACTTAGTCTTACCTTACGACTGTTTAAACTAACATCTGCCATGATTTTTTATCATAAGACTGACATGACTCATTAACCTAACATTCCTTCCTGACTCTTACCTTGTGACTTGACGCGAACTGGTAGCTGTGGGACAACGCCAGTTCTCTGACCCCTGTAAATCAAAGACCAGGACCACATCTCACGAGGACCAATGCGACCTTTACTACGAATGCTATGATGACCAGGCAGTGGTTCAGAGCTGCCCCAACGGCCTGGTCTATCTTGGCAAGCGCACCCGGGGCCTCTTCGGCGTCTGTGACTACGACTTCAACGTTGACTGCAGTGACCGCCCCGCCAGGAGTAAGTAGAACAGTGTCCTTTTACGGTCCCTTTCTTCTCCGCCCCTCCTGCAGGCTTGGCCCAGCAGCAGGCACAGCAACCGGACCCCTGCGATAGGAAGACAAGGGTGGTCGGGGATATAACCTACTGCGACCGTTACTGGGAGTGTGTGGCAGGCACCCCTCAACTCTACGACTGCCCTAATGGTCTCGTCTTCGTGGGCAGGAACCGTGGCATCGCTGAGGGTTGCGACTACCCCTGGCGAGGATCTTACTGTGATAGCAAGCAGCTAGCCAGTAAGTCTCTCCTTCCTTCTCCACTTTCGTCCACCTCTCTTCACGCCGATGTGTCTGTTGGCGCGTCATCGTCGGCTGAGAGGTTTCTCTAACAGGGTCCATCTTTCCCTTGGACTTCACACTACAGCGTGCCAGTCAATCGATGATTACACAGTTTACTTACATCTTGTAGTTTCTTTAGAACTTTCAATCACTTAAATGTAAATATATATATTTCAAAAGCCCATATATACCTGTAACTAAAACTGGTCTGATCATATAACTGTTAAAGCTACACGAGTACTTAACTAGAAAGCTTCTTCATCACCAAACATAAACAAAACAAAGATGAAGAGTATAACAGCTTACTTGTTGCCCCACAGACCCGCCCATCAGCACTGAGCATTGTGACTGGCTGTACGGCATCTTCGGCCACGAGACCTCCTGCACCCGCTACTGGACATGCTGGAACGGTACCGCCACTGAGCAGTTCTGTATCGGCGGACTGCTGTACAACGAAGAGACCCATGCCTGTGACTGGCCCCAGAACGTCGGCGGCTGCCAGAAACATCGTGAGTACCACTAGATTTCTTATCATGTCTTAAATATGAGAGTAAGTGAAATAATTAATCAGTATGTCTCCTAGAGATTTTTATGACAAATTGGTTTACTTCATAGCCTGTATAGTTCTTGCAATAATTATCCGTGTGAAAGTTGAAGTACTCGTATGCATATGCACATGATATCTCGTTACTGATGTTAATTTTATTGATTTACTAACATCCTTACCACCAACAGCACTGTGCAAGGACGACCCCAACGCCAACGTGCCCCTGGGCAAGTCTTGTGAGAGGTACTGGGCCTGCCAGGGAGGTTACCCACGTCTCCAGCGCTGCCCTGCCACCCTTGTGTTCGACAAGCAATCTCGTCGTTGTGTGTCGCCTCCCACTGTAGACTGCGACGTGCTCTCTACCACCCCACCACCTCTTAACGAGGGAAATGATCGTGTCCGCCAGGGCTCACGTCCTCCCCACCGTCGCCCACCAAGTCGTCGTCCCAGCCCCGTCCAGGACGCACAGCCCCTTGAAAGTGACGCTCCATTTGTGTCCGACAATGCCCTCCCTCAGCGTCCTTTGTTACCCAGTCCCTCACAACCCAGTTCCCCCTTCTCCGACGCCCGCCCCTCTTTCTCCAACGCCCGCCCCTCTTTCTCCGACGCCCGCCCCTCTTTCTCCGACGCCCGCCCACTACCTGCACTTCCTCAGGGGAGCAACTTCCGACCTGCTCCCATCCCTGGTGCCATTCCACTCAACTAGGCGACTTCTAAGGCATGCCATGACCTGAAGCATGCCTACACTCTCTCCCTCGTCCGGGTACAAACTTCCCTCACCCAAAGATTGACTGTCCCGAGAGGTGTGGCCGAGACCCCTGGCCTCCACGCGCCAGCGACAGCAACACGTGACGGCCAGACGCACCCGCCCCGGGGCACTGTACATAGTCCTCATACAAAGTATTATGCCCAGTGCATTCCTCGACCTTAGGTTTAGTTGTTATTACTCTGTTTGTAAATAAATTATGTTAAATTTACGGATGTTTCAATGTCCCCAAAGATTAGGAAAACAAAGGAGTTTAATATAATCGTTAACATCCCTATCGCGTCCCTCATTCTTCTCTCCCCTCCCATATCAGGTGTTCTTATATATGGTAAACAAAAATACTCAGCCTTTGGATACGCCCCTAGTAACCACGCCGCTAGCAACCACGCCACTGGCAACTACGCGTGTATTATCATTTTATATTTAGCCTTTCATCCAGAGGTTTGCCACTGAGGGAATTAGTATGACTGAACATTCATAAATATTAAATGAGGAACTCTGAGGTAGGTTTGAGGTAAGTTATTATTGCACGGGGAAGGAGGCCATTATGTGGGGTGAAATGAAACCTAACCTAACCTCACCCATGTAAATCAAACCAAGTGCGTCTGTAGTGATGATGAATTGTCTTATAATAACTGGGGATCATTCACCAGCATCAATTATCATCATTATTCATCATCACCATCATTATCATCATCATTCATTATTTATCATTCATCATCATCATCACATATACGCCATCATTATCGTCATCATCATCATCATTCATCATCATCATCATCATCTATCATCACACACACCACACATTACCACACACACCACACATTACCACCCCTGAGCCCTCTCCCCCGCCCGCCTTGACTACCAGCAGTGTCAGTTGGTACAAATTAGTGGTTATTTCGGTTCGTTTACGCCATTTGGTACATTTTCTCATAAAAATAAATATATCGTAATATACCAAATAAAAATCTTTGTTTGGCAGATGCAATAAATTCTGATTATCTACATGACATTACGAGTAATTTATTCAGAATGTATTCATCATGCAGAACCTCTACCTATGGGAATATGTCAACCTGTCGTTTGTATCATGAGTTCTGAGTGGCTGGTCACCACAAAGGAAGCGCTGAATCTGTATCAAGAGTTCTGAGTGGCTGGGCACCACAAACGAAGCGCTGAATCAGGAGTCGAGCTTGGAGCCACATTTCTCTGAACCATCTGTGATTTTTGTTGAACAGCTGAATAAAAAATGTTTCCCATTATTTTCAGCATAAGCAACTCAGTTTTTCCGTCAGTGAGCATTTACATGTAATATCCGGTCCTTATCATTACAAGAGTATCGGTTAGATAGAAGTTTCGATCGGGTGGTTCAGTGTCTGTGAGTCGAGCTCTCAGTTGTCACTTTGGAAGGTATCAGTACTTTCTTATGGTGTCAAATTAAGCAAAACAAATATGGCCACGCCAGCCATCCGATTAAGTGTTATTACTAAGGTTCGCAAGTGACGCTTTATATCATGTGCTTCAACACCACAAGAGCGTATGTTCATACTGGAGATGGTTCAGTGTGTGGTGGAGATGTGGATGAACTTTATACCAGGGACAGCCAGACGTGGAGGGAGGGAGCCGGCCAGTAGTGAGACGGTCGAGGCGATTAGTGGATGTGTGACGGAAGTTAACGTTTACAAAATGCTCCTAAATTAATACAATCAGTTGTCAAGGATTATAAAATACAGACGCCATCATGTGTGTGTTGGTGTTGAAAAATATAAGGTATGTCGCTGTGTATATTTCCCTTACAACTTATTTCTCTCTCCAATCTACGTCAATTCGATAGCCCATTAATTGTATAGAAATGTTGATGACTGGGACTTAACTATACTGAATGATCTTGACAGCTTCACTGGGGTAGAAATCCATTTCAACGTGATTTGGCTGTAGGATTTTAAGGTTAGGTACCAGAACAAGGCGACCACCCACGCTGATTAACCCAACCTTCACCCCTAGACCATTATCTGGTTTAGCATTTATGCGGAGTCCTTTAACACGGCTTTAGAGAATTATGAACATTAGATTAACACCTAATTGTGTCCATGATCAAACCTTATAAGTGGTTGTTCCCAGTCGGCGTAATAGAGATGTCTCAACTGTGTACATTATGCCTTCAGTCTTCATTGGTGTATTCATAAGTGTTCTAAGTGTTCTATGATTGTCGGGAACAAAATGTAAACAGCACTTTTAGGCTAAAACGTATGTAACAATATAAGCAACTAACCACTCTGCGCAGCCAAGCTCAGCTCGACATTAGCCACCACGTGAAGATTAGGCACCCAATCAGATTTTACTTGTTATACACAGAAGTGCCACTTTTGATGGTGGTGGGGGGGGGGTGTTAGGATAGTTAATCTTCAGGTGATATACGATGGGTCTGCTGCCACATCTTCGTGATTTCATAATTTTACCAAACACGATTTCTATGAGCGTTTTAAATCCCAGTGTAAGAGGCGGTGTTAACTTGTTCAACTGACAGTCAAATATTGTAGCCAGGAACAATCAGATCCATCTTGAGTACATCAGTTGGTCACTGTGGAGGAATGGTGGTGGTGGTGGTGGTGAGGAAGTGTTTATAGTGGTGGTGGCGGGGAAGTGTCTGTGGTGGTGTTGGGGAAGTGGTGGTGGTGGCAGTGGGGAAGTGTCTGTGGTGGTGGTAGGTAACTCACTTGCCAACCTCCAATCACCAGTGTAAAGGTGGTATTTTCGACAAGTAGAATAATATACTTTTGTGCTATAAATTATTACATAGTCAAGTGAAGTATAATGGTCAAATAAATAGTTTACTCTCCATTATCACCGTATTTACTGTGTTGGGAAAATATATTTGTGACCTTCGCAAGATATTCACTGATATTTAGGGAAATGAAGAAGAGAAATTAAAGAATATCACTATCAGAAAAGAGGATGTTCTTAAGAAGATAAATAAATTAAAGAAGACAAAATCCCCAGGGCCGGATGATATTTTCCATCGAGTTTTGAAAGAGTGTAAGGAACAGATTAGCGGACCCCTCGCAAATTTATTTACAAAATCATTAGACACGGGAGTTGTGCCAGAGTTGTGGAAATAACATCCGATCGCATTGAGATGAAAACAAATTAATCTACGATTCTCAACAAGGGTTTACAAAGGAAAAATCTTGTCCAAAAATAAGCTGACGTTTTCTTTAGGAAAGTCCTCGAGGTAGTAGATAATGACGAAAATTACGATGTTATTTACTTAGACTTTAGTAAAGCGTTTGACAGAGTACCGCATCAGAGGCTTCTGAGAAAAGTTAAGGCTCATGGTATCGAGGGAAAAGTTTTAAATTGGATAAAATTATGGCTTACCGATATAACACAGAGGGTCAGCGTAGATGGTGTTAAATCTGAGTGGGGCTGTGTAACCAGTGGGGTTCCCCAGGGGTCAGTACTGGATCCACTCTTGTTCATAATCTAAATAACCGATCTAGATACTGGGATCAGCAGTGACATAAGTAAGTTTGCGAATGACACCAAAATAGGGCGGCAAATTAATCCAGGGAAGGCTGCAAATGCACTACAGGAGGATTCAAATAAACTGCAGGAGTGGTCAATAAAATAGCAAATGAAATTCAACTCCAGCAAGTGCAGCGCACTTGATATTGGAAGAACAAATACTGTCAATATATACAGCCTTAACAACATCAACCTAGAGAAGTCGACATGGGAAAGAGACCTAGGGGTACTTGTAAGCCCGGACCTACGGCCTCGAAAACAGTGCGTTAATGTTCGAAATAAGGCAAACAGAGTATTGGGTTTTATATCTAGAAGTGTAAGTAATAAGAGTGCAGAGGTCTTATTGTAACTATATCTTGCACTAGTCAGGCCGCACCTCCATTATGCTGTTCAGTGCTAGTGCCCTTATTATAGAATGGATATCAATTCACTGAAGTCGGTGCAGCGAAGAATGACAAAAATGTTTCTGGGACTTAGAAACCTTCCATATCAAGACAGGTTAAATAAACTAAACTTACATTCCCTAGAAAGACGAAGAGTGCGGGGAGATAAGATAAAGTATTTAAGTGGGTGAAAGGAATCAATAAAGGCGATATAGATAAAGTTCATATAGTATCCTGAACAAGATAGGACTTGTAGCAACGGATTTAAGTTGGATAAGTTTGGGTTTAGGAGGGAGATAGGAAGGAACTGGTTCACAAATAGGGTGGTGGACGAATGGAATAAGCTTAGCAACTTCGTAGTAGGTGCTGGAAAGTTTTGAATGGAGGCTAGACAGATTCATGGATGATAGAGAGTGGTAGTAACTCACAACAGGAGCTGCCATGCACAGGCCAACCGGCCTATTGCAGACTCCTTATTTTATTATGTTCTTATCACTTTGTAATACCTGTTGTGTATCACATTGATTGTTTTAAATAAGTTCTGGAACTCTTAAGTGGCAGGGCTGAGGTAAACACTTCTTTTTTCTTTTTTTTTATTGTTGAAGTAATTATATACACAGTACTAAGTTTGGGAGAGAATGTATTGTGAATTATCTCCAGGGAAATGTTTTGTGTACACTTATATAATGAACACTAAAGTTACATGTTCACCCCTTAACTAGTGGTAAGACTCTGGCCCCTCCCCTCCGAGCGTGTGAGCAGAGAAGCAGGCGTCAAGCTGTGTTTTGATAAGTCAGGTGACCTCGCTCGACTTCTGAAAGAGTTTGAGCCGCGTATAACTGAACAACTACCAAGTCATTGTTTAATAACTTAGTGAATAATTTGGTGTTATTCAGTTGGGTGACTATTTATTTAATGCAAAAGGTGCTGTTACAACTTTCTCATCACCACCGCCACAATCATTTCACCACCGCCACACTCATTTCACCACCACAAATCACAATCACTCTACCACAATCAATTCATCACAATAAATTCACCACAACTGCTTCACCACCTCCACCACAACTGCTTCACCACCTCCACCACAATCACTTCACCGTCACCAGAATCACTTCACCAGAAACATTTCACTAGAAACACTCACCAATATCACCAGAATCAGTTCATCCCATTACTAGAATCACTTCACCACCATAAGAACATAAGGAGTCTGCAATAGGCCGATTGACCTGTGCATGGCAGCTCCTGTCGAGAGTTACTACCACTCTCTGTCATCCATGAATCGGTCTAGACTTCTTTT